TTTGAGTTGAAATGAGGAGTTTTTTCCGTATTAATGCTAATTAATTAAGTATTTACGAAAATAGGGTCGGGTTAAAAGTATTTACGAATATACTGTTGGGCTTAACCCTGGTCGGGGAAAGTCGCCAAACCGTTTGGCGACTTATAAGTCGCCCAACCGGATGGCGACTTATAAGTCGCCCAACGGTTTGGCGACTTACCCATAAATTAAAAAACCGGGTTAAACTAAAATAAAAAAAGAGGAGCAAAATTGTCTTTTGAAACCCGTTGAATTTTACGACTATCGTGTCCGCAGGTCACCCGCGCAGGGGCGGTGCGAATTTTTGATTCTGAACTGAAAGCCGGAATTCTTGTGTGCGCGAGAGCTCCCCTATTCTCCTTCACCTTTTAATTCTAAGAGAGGAGTGGTTCATATTTATAGGCTTCAAACTTCTCAAGGAGTTTAGGTGTGGGAAAGTTAAAGAAACTCATTTTCCACCTTTGCTTAAAAGTGTACACTTTTCCATCTTTCTTTTTCAAGAGCAAATTTGAGCCACTTCAAACTTCAAAGTTCAAAACTCCAACACCAAAGGTCAACACTACAATCAAAGCTTCCAAGAGTCAACATTGAGATTTAAAAAAAAATCAAGATTAAGACTATTTTTTTCAAACTCCAAGCTACATTTCAAGGTCAAGGAATTTGCAGTTTGATATAAGGCGCTATATCAAAAATCAAAAGAATTTGAAAAACTAAAGATGTTCACTAGTTCAATAACGAGGGAGGGAGATTAACAAAGAATAGCAGCCTCGGAAGGTAATGTAATCACAATTAGAACGTAGTAATATCATTTACAAGCATAAGATCAAGAATTGAGCATAATAGTAAGAGGAGAGGAAACTCTTTGATAACATACATCTGCCAGAAAGTATCTTCACAACTATAACATTGTCACTTGGGTCTAGGCCCCATTTTGAGATGTTAATCAAGCAGTGTTGAAAACAAAAACTAATTACTTAAGTTGAAATGTGTGAAATAACAATAAATCAAGATGAGTTCAGTACAAAAGGAGTAGGATCTAAGGTTCTTTTTATATATTGAATTATTGAGAACCAGATGTATGTGCATGCCTACTATTGTCAAATAATTCCATAAATGGCACTATATAGGGAAACAAGAAACCAGATGAAGATCTACACAATTTTTGTTAATGATTGAAAACAGTGAATGAAAGGAAGTAGATGATAGGAAACAATACTATCTTGGACCTTGAAATGTAGCTTGGAGTTTGAAAAAAATAGTCTTAACCTTGATTTTTTTAAAATCAATATTGACTCTTGGAAGCTTTGATTGTAGTGTTGATCTTTGGTGTTGGAGTTTTGGACTTTAAGTTTGAAGTGGCTCAAATTTGCTCTTGAAAAAGAAAGATGGAAAAGTGTACACTTTTAAGCAAAGGTGGAAAGTGAGCTTCTTTAACTTTCCCACACCTAAACTCCTTGAGAAGTTTGAAGCCTATAAATATGAATCACTCCTCTCTTAGAATTAAAATGTGAAGGAGAATAGGGGAGCTCTCACGCACACAAGAATTCCGGCTTTCAGTTCAGAATCGAAAATTCGCACCCCCCTGCGCGGGCGACCTGCGGACATGATAGTCGTAAAATTCAACGGGTTTCAAAAGACAGTTTTGCCCCTCCTTTTTTTTTTAGTTTAACCCGGTTTTTTTAATTTATGGGTAAGTCGCCAAACCGTTGGGCGACTTATAAATCGCCATCCGGTTGGGCGACTTTCCCCGACCAGGGTTAAGCCCAGCAGTATATCCATAAATACTTTTAACCCGACCCTATTTTCGTAAATACTTAATTAATTAGCATTAATACGGAAAAAAAAACTCTGAAATGAGACTATATTTATTTAAATAGAGTTCTTTATTAGTAGAGTATGTTGTATTTTCATTATCACTTAGTTAAGACATTACATGAGCTAATAAGTATTTTTATAGTACACATTGTTTTTCCATTCATACTTTTAGATGCTTGTTAGTTGGAAAATTTGATGAGATGTAAATGCATTCCCTTCTCATCTAACCATAAGCAATCTGATAGAATGAGATATTTTTTATTTCACTTTTGAAAAACAACAAAATAGCCTATGTGGGAATCGAACCCACATCTTCATGCATAAGCACATCGCTCTACCATTTGAGCTAATAGGCTTAAGATGTGATACACATGTTATAATAATGTGAGTGATATTTGACATGTACGAGCCAATATATATTATAATGTGTTACAGCAACTGGTCAAGTTTCAAAGATCAGAAATGATTATATGTCAATATTTTTGTTAAGCTCTTATGTTTCAAAAATTTTAAAGAGCATGTGGCGTGCGATCGTTTAAGAGCACGTAAGTCCACATGGCACGAAACGGTGTTATAAAATATAATAAATAAATAGAATAACATGCGTTCTTTCAGATTGAAGTGTTTTTGGCAATAGATCTAAAAATTTCTGAAACCATCTTCTTTTAAATGCTTGACAAGTGAAGCATGCGGACTTACGTGCTCTTTAAAGGACAAGACATGGCCAAATTTGCACCTTCTGATAGGCGTGGTAGATACTCACCACTGTCACCCTGTGAAGCGGGCATCGGGGGAAAGTCAGAATATATTAGGGCGCTGAGATTACATTCGAGTAATTGCTGCATATTGGAAGGATACTCACCCCTTCATGGCATCATGCTCCTTCACTCTCTCTAGTCGCCATCTCTCTGTTAATGCATGACATTTTTTGTTTTTTAGTAAAAGGCGAAAGAATAGTTCCATGTGTGTTCATCGCATGACTGCATTACATTGTTTGTGATTTCACTCGACGATGACGCTGCAAGTGCTTAAATCCACATCAATCAAAAGAGAGTAAGGTATAATGGTGTTGAAGCGAGTGTGAGTGTGTGACTGTGAGGAGGAGATGAAGAGTAGTCAAGGGGGAAGCAGTCAGCCTTCCTCTATTCCGCATGGGAAGAGGGGGTGACCGGGTGAAATTTTCAATGTCTCGTGTTTGTTTCAATGATTGTGCCTCTTATCTTTTTGCACGGATTACAAAACCAATTTCATTCTCCCACGGTTAATGAAGTATTAAATCACAGGAGCAAACACGGTTAATGAAGTATTAAAACCTACTTTTCCAGATGATATTTAAGAAGAACATTGTTAAGGAAGTTGTTCCTCGCCAGACAACTACTGATCCTCTACTGTCAATTACTATCGTATATGCCTAAAGAACAGCCAAAAGAGGTAGGAACCAGGATAGTGATGTCGAACTGAAGGATATGAGGAGGGTATGAAGTTTTTTTGAATTAAAATATGGGAGGTACTGCTATGTGGAGCGTAATATTTCGAGTAAACAACCGATGTTGATCTAACAATGTTATATTAAGTTGAAACACCAAGTCAGTTCAAAACATGGCTATCTTCTCTAGTTATTTGTCATGAACCAATTTTGAACTAATTAGAAGAAAAACTCATAACAATGGGAATACATGACTTCAAAAGGGTACTGCAATGCTGCAAATTGTACTAAGCAAAGTTATGTTCATGGCTTAAATCCTTCTACAACGAAGGAGCAAATGACCCTTCTTATACACTTCAGAAATTTGATTTAATACTTCATTAACCGTGTTTGCTCCTGTGATTTGTATTTTTTAGAGTAAATTATATTTTATTGATGGAAAAAGGAGTTACGCGCACTAATAAAAGAAAAAATTTAGAGGATCAAAAATAATAAAAGTTCTTAAAGACGAGAGAACTAAAAAGCATTAGAGCTCGTTAACCATTGTTGCTGCCATGTCCAACAGTCCTTACAATCGACTTGTTACGACTCTTGGATATTTAAAATCAATCAAAGTAAACTCCTCTTTCTCCGGAGGTGCACTTGTGTAGTTGTGTGCCTAATTTACTAATTTCATCATCATTATCATCACCCCAGTGCCGCAAAGGCTCCCACCTACGGTGGGATAATTTACTTATTTACCTAAAATATTTCTGAAAAGTCTACTGCTTTGTTTTTTTATTCAAAACATTTTGAATTTCAATAAAGTGATGACGCGAGATAATTTACCAAAAGAGCAAATTCAGAGCATCTCTAAAACTTTTGAATTTCAAAATGTGACCAGAAATTCAGAATGAAAGACCTGTATAGCACAGTCTACACCTTAAAAATTGGTATTAGCCTAGGTTGTAGAAGAACTGTAAACAAGGATGGGGGAGCCGTGGAGGCTAAAAGATACTCCATATGAAACCTGAATATTTACACATTTTTGAAGCCTTGTTCGGGTATGTGACTAGTAATGCCTTCGTTTGATTCATTATTGGGAGGGTGCTTCATGGCCTGAGATAATGTTTGTTAAAAGAGTTTCATAGCTCCTACCTATTCAGTCTAATAGGCCATCTTAGCGGAAAGCAGAGACTGTCCAACGCCGGTAAATCGAATGGGATATGCTTAGAATCGAAGGAAGATATCATCTTTAGTAAAAAAAATAAAAAATAAAAATGCATCTCAAACTAGGGACAATAAATTTAACAAACGAATAAGGTCAAAATTAGTGAAAAGTGAACAAAATATAGATGATAAACCTGGAGCGACCGTGGCTGTGCGTCTCTGTGGATGCAGACAACGGGGATAAAGGAGCCAAGAAACATGGGATTGAAACTTCATTGCTTTCTCTAGTCCTAGTTTCTCTTTCGTAAAATCAAATGTGAAGACGGGAATTGGCTTCTTTGCTTTTGCAGAAGAAAAATCAGAAGATTCTTTCACTGTGTCTATTTATTTTCACAAAAGCAAAATAGCAAAATTTGGTTGCGTAAGGACTTCTTTTGCAAATTAAAACATATTTTCGGGAGATATACGATAGAATATGTGAGTTGGAATACTTTACCAATTATATCCGGCCAACTGTGAAATGCACCGAAGCAGTTCCCAACGTCCATGCACCATAAAATTTTCCTTAAGATAATAGCTTGGCATTTAAATAGGAAAATTAAGTTTGTTGGTGATCCTATTAAAAGGGAGAAAATAATGGAGAGCCAAGTAACGTGCCAAGCAGGAAGAATTCATCTGTTACTTTAGCTCCATGCATTAAACAAATGAGTAAGTAGTCTTTCGGTTATATTAGAGTCCAAACATTTATTAGAAAATAATTTGTTTATTTGAAATACCAAATAAATTTCCAACACTCATTTGGACGCTCTGTACCTTTCGCTGAAGTTGATGAAAACCAAATCAACCACATCACACAGACCAGCGAGTTTACAGATCCGGCCACCCCTGCTCAAGCCACAATTGATGATTGTTTGAAGGATTCTGAAAAGTTTAATTTTTTTGGAGAAGAGGGTTTTGACTCCATCAAAATGGGATCCAAACTATTTAGATTTACTCTCAGAAACAAGGAAATGGTCATTTTTGAAATTGAAAAATCCTCACTAAAAAGGATCAATTTCAATACAGTGATCGCGGGCCAAATCTACCGTTTTTTTCAACAACTTTCACGCACAGATAAATTTTATCTTGGGCAGAGCAGAAAATTAGGGCCAATTACGGTTACTTCGATAGTCAACAATTCATGCATGTTGTTATGTGAAGATCTCTAAAGAAAATGGGAGCTCAATTTTGGTACCCAAGGGCCCGCACAATTCATTGTTTAATGACTTTCTGACAATTTTCTCTAATTTTGTTGGATTATCTTATTAAGAACAGGAGGAACTAATGCATTGTGAGCATGAGACTTCGGTTGATAGTGAGGATATAACCATTTCCAAACTCATATTTAACTATGAAGTTCAAAGAGCCTTTGGTGAAAAACAATCTCTTGAGAAACAACCACACATTCCACTTCTTCAGGCTTACTCTGATGCCTCAAACAGCTTTGACTACTCCGATGATTCTTTTTTCTCAGACGATTTTTTAGGTCACGCAACTGAAAGCGATCGACGCCCTCCTTTATCAAAACATGATGAAATTAAGAACTCCAAATTCAACAGAACGATTTGCCGCAAAGCAAAGTCCGTCAACTCCGAAAATTGTCTCCCAACAGACAATCTAAACACACAACTCAAACTTTACAGGAAATCTCAGCAAAACAAAAGGCGCCACAACATGAGGACTAGATCACAGTCCAGAGATTTTCCTTAGCTTGGGTCTAGTTTTAGTTATTAATAATTTCTTTTCTGTATTTTCTTCCTTTTATTTCTCTTTTGTACTGTACTATTTATTTTCATTAATAAAATTGTTCCTTTTCAAAAAAAAAAAAGCTAACAATACCACCAACAAATTATTTACACCCAAAATAGCCTAACTCTCATTCACTCTTATTAGTTTGTAGAGACTAGTACCAACATAAATTGATGTTTCGACGCGGACAGCGGGCCGAAGACCGTCCCATTTCTAGATCAAAACTTGATGATGTATATACTTCAACAATATGATGTATATTGTCATATAACCCTAACAAAATGGTCCGAGCTAAGATAACAGACCATGTCAGGTCGACATAGTATTGTAGACAATATCATGCTAAGTTTTGAAACACAACACTTTTTTAAAATGAAAGGGACAATCGTGTAGAATGAATTTTTTTATAGCTTTTAAAAATTGGATAACGACTAATCTATGACCTATGAAATCTCACATAGACTAGCGTACCCAGCTCAGCTATCACCACGCAAATGAAGCCATTCTACTGAATTTTGAAGTGGAGAATGAGTTAATTAGAAATACATTAAATGATTATTACTATTTTAACGTCTAACCATATATCCCCTCACGTTGCCTACACCTTTTATTTCTCCGTTAACGTGTACGAGTATGTATTAATTGCTTTAATTCGCCTTTTCATTCCATTCACAATGTTAAATAATTCTCTACGTCATATTTACATTATAAGTGATATTCATGTAATTTCCGATTGTATATTTGTATTTTTAACTAGTTTTTATTAGTTCTAATTGTGGAAATTACACACTTTTGGTGTAATACTTTATTTTCATTTTTATTTGTAATTTGGTTAGATTAGGATTGTTCTGAGCTAAACAGGTCAAAGATCATCCAAAGGATCAAGATTGAACCTTAAAAGATCAAGGAAAGTGGAAGGAAGATGCAAAAATCTCAAGACAAATGAAGATCCTGATTTTTGTGTTGTACCCGGTCGGGTATGACCTTTACCCGATCGGGTACCTTGCTAAAAAATCAAATCGGATCAAATCCGGGAACAAGGCATCATGCGGGAAGATTTTTAACCACGTTCGGGTGTCATACCCGATCGGGTGACCGACATACCCGATCGGGTATGCCCCAATTTTCTGGCTTCCGGGAAGCTCTCTAAGTACCCGATCGAGTGGCCTTGAAGCCCGATCGGGTACACAGCCCTGCAGCTCCCAAAAGCCTATAAATACACCTCATTTCCTTCCCATAAAATCACCAATTCACATATACTCTTTAGCTCAGTTTAGATTAGTGTTTTCTTTATATTTTCTATCATGTTTAGTCTCCAAATGAGGAGCTAAACTCTTCCATCTTGGTTTTGCTACTTTGAAGCTTAATGAATTTGTAAGTTGTGAGTTATTCTCTTTAATCTTCTTCCTTGAATATTAATTCTTCCTTTAAATACTATTATTTCTATATCAATGTTGGGGAGTGTTACTAAGATGACAATTAGTTAACATCTTGACATTAGTTATAGTAATAGCTATTTCTTCCTCTATGTTAATATTGGGGAGTGTTACTAAGATGACAATTAGTTAACATCTTGATATTAACTATAGTAGGATTCATCTTCTTTAATATTCTTCCTTGAGTATTAATTAATTCCTATTCATATTTCATATTAATATTTTGAACATTACTTAAAGGATCAACTAGTTTTGTTTCATATATTAATTATTACTAGAATCGGTCGATTAATACGCTTGTTATTAATTCGGTCCTTTCGCGGTAGTAAACTTGGGTTATTAATGCATGCGTTTCATGGTTAATAAACCAAGGGGAATTAATTATATTGATTAAACCAATAAACCGCTTGTGTTGAGGTTATCAATCTCAATCGTTTTCATCTTGATTTTATTGCTACTATCGAGTGAATATACGGCGCGTGTTCTATATTAACTCGGTAGTAAGTTTTATTAATGAACGCGTCTCGTTATTAATAACTACCCTCGATGAATTGGATATACTCCTCGATTGAGTATTCGAGAGGAAGATAGTTAAAGATATAACCGGGATCGACGAACATTTCATTAAGTGGATAAAAGCAAAGCCAAGTCTCCTTCTCATTAATTAAACCACATAACTCGTTCATCTTCGTATTTAATTAAATTAAATCACTCAAACCTAAACCCCCCCTTTTGTTACTGGTTAATTAAAAAGAGAAATATTCCTTTCCCTGTGGATACGAACCTTACTTCATTATACTACGTATAATTGTTGTATTGTATTATTAGTTTGAGTGCACACCGCGACAAAGTGCACGTCAAATTTGGCGCCGTTGCCGGGGAAAGGCAATTATTTTTCTTTTTATTTTATTTCAAAAAAAAAAGTAATTAAATAAAAATATAAAGAATTCTTATTTTCTATTTCTGAGCTTTGTTTGAGTATATGGTTAAACACCGATCTGTAAACCAAATCACCTACCAAACAAATCCCGAAACGGAACAAGCCTTCGAGAGGTTTAGGAATTTATTTCCGAATACTTCTTCGGAGGAATCATCAAGTGCTAGCTCTAGTTCTAGCGAATCTGAAGAGTCAATCACTATGGCTCAAGAAACACGAACGTTGAGGGAGCTCACGGCTCCTAACTTAAATCAACAACCTCTATGTATCACCTTCCTCACTCTTGATGAAGGTGCCACATTTGAGCTCAAATCGGGCCTCATTCATCTACTCCCTTCATTTCATGGCCTAAGGGGTGAGGATGCAAACAAACATCTTGCGGAGTTTCATATAGTTTGCACTAGTATGAAACCAAATAATGTCACTGAAGAACAGATCAAGCTGAGGGCCTTTCCATTCTCACTGAAAGACACGGCTAAAGATTGGCTATTCTACCTTCCTTCGGGAAGCATAGATACATGGGCGGCAATGAAGAAATGCTTCCTAGAAAGGTACTACCCCGCCTCCATCTCATCATCTTTGAAAAAACAAATAAGTAACATCGATCAAAAAGATGATGAGACTTTATATGAATATTGGGAACGGTTCAAAAAGTTATGTGCTAGCTGCCCTTATCATGGCTACACCGAGCAAGACCTCATACTCTACTTTTACGATGGTCTTGTTGATGATGATAGAAGAATGGTAAATGCCGCTTGTGGGGGTGGCATTGTCAACAAAACCCCCTCACAAGCGACAAACTTGATCTCGGAGTTGGCCGAAAATTCCAGGCATTACAACGGGCGGTCCTCAATCCGTAAAGTTGCCGCGGCGGAATCATCTTCATCTTTGGAAAGTCAAATGGCCGGCTTGACTTCTTTGGTTAAGGATTTCCTCTTAAATCCTAGAACCCAAGAGGTCAAGGTATGCGGCATATGCACACAACAGGGGCATCCAACCGATTCTTGCCCAAATCTCCAAGAAGAGCAAGTCAATGCCTTGGGTTTTCAATCTCATCAACAAAAGAGGTACGATCCAAACTCTAACACTTACAACCCCGGGTGGAGAGATCACCCGAATTTGAGATATGGGAACCCTCAAACACAACATAATCATCCCTTTCAACAATCCTTCCCAAATCACCAAGGCCAAACCTCAAGCTCAAATATGTCCACTGAAGACATGATCCGAGCACTTGCTACAAACATTTCAACGATGCAACAAAGTGTGGCTCAATTCCAAGAAACAACGAAATCTAGCATCCAAAACTTGGAAAATCAAATGAGCCAGATCTCAATTGCGGTGAGCCGACTTGAGGCAAAAGACTCGGGTAAACTCCCATCTCAAACGGAGCAAAACCCGAGACAACATGTTAATGCAATCATGTTGAGGGATGAACCAACATTGAAAGAGGTGCATGAGGAAGAAAAACAATCTGAAAATGGGGTTGATCCTGGAGAAGATTTTCAACCAAACGAGGGGGAACCAACGAAAACTAAATCCCCTCCACTTTCATCATATGAGCCACTTCCTCCATTCCCCGAAGCACTGAAGGACACAAGAAAGCTGAAGAATGATCGGGACCTCTACGAGACCTTCGCCGATTCTGAGGTAAACATCCCACTCTTCCAATTGATCAAAAGTGTTCCCCGTTATGCAAAGTTTTTAAAAGAACTATGCACAATGAAAAGGAAAGATAAATTGAAGGCAAAACAAGAGGTAAAGGTTAGTGAACGTGTCTCAGCAATTTTCCAGAGGAAACTCCCGGAAAAATGCAATGACCCAGGCATGTTCACTATCCCATGCAAAATTGGGGTCACTTTATTTCCTAGGGCCTTGTTGGATTTAGGGGCTTCAATCAATGTTATTCCATATTCATTATACAAGTCCCTAAAACTTGGCCCTATGCATGAAACCGGGGTAGTAATCCAATTGGCAGATAGGTCTTGCACATACCCAAATGGTGTAGTAGAGGACGTGCTAGTACAAGTTGAAAATTTGGTCTTCCCTGTTGATTTTTATATCCTTGAAATGGAAGCCGATAACCAAACTACACCCATCCTTTTGGGGAGACCTTTCTTAAAAACCGCCCAAACAAAAATAGACGTGTCTAATGGTTCATTAACATTGGAGTTTGATGACCAAAAGGTAGAATTCAACATCTTTGATTCTACGAAAAAACAATTTAAAGACCAATCTCTTTGTTCTCTAAATGTTTTTGAACCACAAACACCAAACGTTTTTGTTAGAAAACAAGCCAAGGAGACCTCACTTTTTAAGGAAAGAATTAAACAAGAAAAATCTATTTTGAAAGAAGAGGCACCTAAATACGAAAGTAAATCACTTGTGTTTGGGGTGATAACAAAGAAGAAATCCCGGCCTTACTGGAAAAGGCCGAAGAAAAAGAATGAAACAGGGGATATTCACGATCCCACATAAAAACAATAAAAAAAAAAAATAACGTCGTGCCGCGACGTTAACTAAGGCGCTTCTTGGGAGGCAACCCATGCTTAGGTACGCATCTTTCATCTTTTCTTTTTAAAATTTTTGTTTTTGAATATCAACTTTGAGAGAATGGGGAAAATTCTCACAAGAAAAATGAGGGAAAACCATGTTTTGAAAGCCTGGGAAAACCTCCGATCGGTCTTCATCACTTAACCG